ATTTGGATACTGCTTCCAGAATTTGCTGCAGTTAGTGTTTCTGAGCACATGCTGAGTCCCCTTTGAGGGCTTCCTGTTTTCCTTCCATGTATAGAATACACATGAGATACTTATGAGAGAGAGGGCAGAAAAAATATATCAGAAAATGTTCTTTTTATCTCCTTACACTTCTTTAACTTGCTCAGAACAACTTGCATTAATTACCCACAAAATAGCTTGTAACTTCACTCCACTCCCTGAATAAATGGCATTTTGATTCATGCTGTCATGAGACAAGGTAGCAGCACAGTGACTACATTACATAGGTACTATAACATGAGCACATTTCTAAACTGCTACATTGGTCTGCGGCAGCTGCTTTCACAGACACAGTTCATTTCTAATGAAGTGCTCTAGGTTGCTTTAATTCCTCTGTTTCACTGACAGATTTCCCCCACAAAAGTGGATTTCCACCTGATGCTAAAGAGAGAAAACATTACCACCAACAAAGCTCAAAGTGTAAACCACAGAGGTCTTACTCAGAATCAGGACTGAGAACACAAATCCCCCCGCTCTTTCATTATAGGTAGAAAACAAATATTCACCCAATCATTTCTTAAATTGAAACATAACTTTGCCCTGTTCTTACCAGGCTGAGGAGATGTGTGTGACTTTGTTCCATTGCTTTTACTTTGATTTGCACTTTATTATTAAAAAGAAAACCTACTTACAATTTACTGTAAATTGGAAGATGTTTACAATAAATTGTAAGCAGAATGACTGTGACAGGCAATACCCTCACTGCAGGTACCAGAAGACCAGTACAGTGAACTCAGCCCCCTACACGCAGCAAGGCGTAGCATGGGAAACTCCATAGCCGTGAAAGAAGCTGTAAGATAAACACAGGAAAGGAGGGCCCTGACTCAGCAGCGGGTGACCTCTAAACACATTGCCTGTTCTTTCCTCTCAGCCTTGGTACGTCCCCACAGGTTGATATTTTGATTGGCAATGAAGGTGAAAGATGTTAGGACCGACAAGCTTGTAAGAGCTCCCCAACATCCCTTTAATTGCCAGCAGCCTACCTGGGGGCTATATCTCACCTTCATCATGTACAAATGAGCAAACAGAGGATTCTCTTAGCAAATTGCTAAAGAGTGAAGTTCTGGCAACAGCACAAGCTACTCTAATTCTGCTTCTAAGCAGCAGGAGGCCCAAAGCCTTTGTTTTCAGGGGAAAAAAAAAAAAAAAAGACTTTCTGCATAATGAAGGCACCTAAGTTTATTTATATATGTATATATATATATTAACTACAGAAATTTGTGTATGTAACTGGTAGAACTGTAAAAAAGTTAGAAAACAACATATTTAACAATGCACTCTTACCATAAGTAGCTCCTGTAAATAGCTACCCAAGCACACTGGCCTACCTGCGTATTCTAGTACCAGTGTGCTGTGTATTCCCTGTAAAACACAGCTTACTTACAGTGATTATTTAATTAAGAAAGAACGGGTGTAGAATGAAACTATAGGGAGAGGTTTACTACTCTGAACTTCGTTTTCTTTCGTACTGTGTTCCTTTCATAACAAACCAGTCTTTTCCCCAGAAGTCTGTATGCAGTAAAGGCTTCTTTCAGGTGAAGATGTTCTCAAGCCTGCTCTGTGAGAACACAAATGAGACCCAAAAGACTCAGTGAGGAGACACTCGCTGCCTTTAAATCACAACAGGCATATTCATAGGCTGCCATTGGAAAGTGGCGTTACTGCAAAGGGCAAACTGGTTTGCACAGTGCTAGCCAGGTCTCTTGCCTTGCCCCACTACACATCACCAACAAGCTCTTAAGGATTTGGCCTGGGGTGCAGGCTCCTGGCATCCTTAGCCCTTTGGGTTTTGTCTGTAACTAACTTTTCAGCAGCAAGAACTAATTGTGTTTTTAAACTACATACATCATTAGCTAACACGGTACAACTTAGCACATAGGCAAGATCCAAACAGCAGCATAACTCAAACAGCATTATGCCATTTTTAGTGGTTGTTGAAACTCAAGTTGCATTGATTTTAGTAGACTGGCTGAGAAATGACATCAGTTCAATTTGTTCTCTTCCATTTTAAACCTGTCTACAGGAAAAACTTGGACTTGTTCACTATGTTGGCTGTAATTAACTGTGGTAAATTAAAGTAATGTAATAATCAATTGGCTAGGGAATGTTACCTGAATATAAACGTTTTAATCCCTCTCTCTCTTTTTATGACTGAGAAAAGCTTTCCCTTGCAGTTTGTGTGTTTCCATCAGTATGGAAAAGAACGGAAAGAGCAGTTACAGTACCCTAAGGAATAACATAAAGTATATGATAATATACTCTGCAACTAAAACTATGCTATTCTAATTCTGTGGGCCTCTTTTTGATGATGTTTCACTCCATGCCTTTCCCATTTAGAGAAAATAAGCTTTTAAAGCAAGCTGTTCTTCCCTTTAGAGCTCCCAGTGTGTTTGCAAAACTTTCAGAAGTTAGTTTCAGTATGAAAATATTACTTGTGCTTATATATTCTTGCAGCAGATGTCCTCAAACTACTTGGAATATGAAACAATTTCAGAGAGCACATATTTGATGGCTTTTGAATTTTTATGAGGCAAAAGGAAATAAGGATCGAATGAAAGTTTGAATGAAAGTGGCAGTTTGTTGAAATTTTAATGCTGCAAAATGGTCCCTGATCAATCAGCATTTATTTTATTTAGGAGAAAAAGTAGATAATGAAGTAAAAATGGAAATGAGTCTATTTAGAGCTATAAACATTGCCTCTATGAAAATGGCTTTACACACACACACACACACACAAACAAACACACAATTCCCTTTCACAAGAATTCAGTGCTTCTCCTGCTTGTTATATAGTTATATTCCAGTTTGCCTTAAAATTCCGTAATGTTATAACAGCAAACAATGGTGCATTTCTTAGCATAAATATTGCCCAGTGTTGCTATCCAGCTTTCCAGGAACAACATCATTACATGCTTTCATGGCATTTAATGGCCTCTGGCTCTTCTAAGAACTGTGATTACTGTATAACCTTTGTAAAAAATGGCAAGATCAAGCCAACAAATTATACAGATACATCTGATTACTGTGAGGTTACAGCAATCTCCTCCCTTAAATTAAAGGGAAGTGACATGCCAGAATCAAAGCAGTTCCAATAGGAGTGTCTAAAGCAGGGGGGAGTTATGGTTTCGTATGCACATGAGGCTTACAAAAATGTTCTGCTTTTTCAGGTACTTCAAGAAATCTTCCAGACAGAAGATACAATCATGCTATTGGAGAGATCCATAATGGCAAAGGAGTACCCTCTGAAAGTGGCTCAGACACGCCTGGAGACGAGAACTAAACGACCCAATATAGAGCTCTGCCGTGATGAACCTCAGTACCAGTAAGTAGAGACCAGACCACCCCATCCCCTCCTCAGTCAGCTACTCAAGAAAGAGAAATTTAACAACAATGAAATTATTCAACAGGATTAGAATTGTATTCATTATGTGATGATAGAAACTCTGGAAAAACAAACTAAAATCCAAGTATCTATGTTGAAGTAATAGGCCAAATGTTACGTGCACGTGCCTTTAGAGACCCTTTCCGAGGATACTTTGGAGTTCATTTGCTTGTTGGTGGTTCATATGCTTGGGGTTTCAGTCTCATGCCTGAGTGGGATTTATTAACTGATTTTAATTCCATTCAGGATGAAACACCAAGATTTCAATTCAGGAAATACCTTATTTCATTATAACATGTTTTCCAAGACAAAATTCTGTCTTGATACAAAAGTTATCTAATGGTCAAGCTCCTTTAAAAGTTAATTGCAAATAAAAATGAGGCAGCAACTCTTACTGCCTGAACTCATTTTCAGTACTTTCATCCAACCATATGATGATTCCAGTATCATCTCTGGACACTTCAGCTCCTCTAGCATGCATTTTGGTCACGTAGCTGTAGGGCCTTTCCAATATATGTTGGCATCAGCTTGGTGATCCTTGTGCTATAGTACATTGAACAGTGTGTATTGTGTCCTCCTGGATATACAAGACGGTGTCCAAGACACTAGTCTTCCCTCCCTAATGAAGGAAGCTTCTTCTGAAATTTAATCCTGTTTATCTCCCTCCCTCCCAATCCATTTGGAATCCAATCCATTGTCCAAGAGAACCCTATCAAGTATATCTTATTTAAAGTACTGTCTCCAAAATATTCTGTGGGGGGTTTCTCAAGAAATACTGCAGCAGGGTTCCTCCCATAGATGAAGTGAATTTCACAGTCCAGTACAAGAATTTTTGCATATTTTTCCAGAAAGTAGGAAGCTAGTCCCTTTTGGCATTTGTCTCTAACAAAATCCTACTGCATACAACAGGTTCATATACAATAAGATTAATAAAGTACATAGTGTTTAAGCTGAGTATTTATATTACTGTTCCTAAACATGCTTTATCAGCTCAAAAACCTTCTATTCAAACAAGGAAATGGCAGTGAATCATAGTTTATTGTACTGGCATCTTTTCACTTTTTCTTCCAACTTCTTAGCCCATAAATTGTAGAATGCAATATTTTTTTTTTTCAGCTTCATAACTTCTTAATCAGATCTTGACATTTCCTTCGGTGTATCCACATATTAGATTCCTTCAACTTAATGCTCTGCTTTCCAAATCCATTCTCATAAAATATTGTTTTGGATATGAAGTCTTTTATATCCATTTGGGTAGTTTTATTTATGTGTCCTTTTATATCACACAAATCATGCCTGTTCTAGATGCAGGAATTCAGCTGTGAAAAAATAAGAACTTCTGATCTAGGCACTATAGCATAAACTCAGCACTTATCTTTTCTGTGGGAGCAGATCACTCACAACTTCAGTTACTGCTGCACCATCAATTAGGTATGGAAATAAACTAGTGTCAGCATTTTATTTAACAACAAGAAAAAAGAAAAAAAAAACACACCACCACCAACAAGACAGCCTTAAATAATACAGATTTAGTCCTTACTCACTGAGTCTTGTTCTCTTCCTGTTTCCCCCCGACAATCTCTTCCACAGAAATGTCTGTAGCAGTAGGATTGATATCAATCTATTCAGCAGGACTGCACATATCGAAGATACAAAACTTGTCCAAACTGGGATCAAAAGTGTGCTGAAGCAGAGCCACATTATTCCTCTTCCTTCCCACAAGTGCCAGTGATGCTGTTGACATTCCAAAGGGTCCTGTTTGAAAAAGTTCACAAGCCTCATCTGAAATTACTGTAAATCAGAATGTCTTTGAATATTTTTCTAAACTAGAGTGAAAAGACATAAATGTGAAATTCTTGAATATATATATAGGTGTTCTGAATCATTCCAACTCCTACCAGCTTACAGGTTATATAAAAACTTCACAAGCAGTTGTGCAGGTATTTAGAAGTATTTCAGGTTTATTGTACACACAAGTTTGCCAACAGCCTGATATGATTTCTAATATTTCAACACCAATTTTTATACAAGTACGCTGTTTACTAGACACAGTTATAACGACAGATTATTAGTGTATCCTATTCTCCTTCCTCCAACATACGTGAATTTTGTTATGCCACAGCTCCCCAGTCCAGGCCAAATTATTTTGGATGCTTCAGTTGATCCAAATCTTTGTATGCTACGTTCATCATAACCGCAGTTAGTGGTGGAAATTCTGACAGAGGGTATTTGAAACATGGACGCTTTTATTTCTATTGCAGATTTTGGCTGAGCTCACATCCCAAATAAAATATATTTTCTTAGAGAAGTTCCTATCTGAGAAAGCAAAACCTTTTGCTAATTCACTTTCTAAGGATTTTATTTTTTACTTTTAAATAATTTAAGTGCATATCTCTTGTTGTTTAAAGCACAAAGATTCAGCCTAATAGTTCAATTGCAATAGAAAAAGAAAACATCAAATGAACCACTTCTTTGTAACATGTAAATGTTATCTGAGTTTGCTGCTTTTTAAAAAGGAAGTGCTGATGTTGGCACTTGTTCTCTCTGTGTGCTGCCAACTTTGTAGTGAAGGGATTAGATAGAAAACAAATTAATAAAGCCTAGTTTTTCTGTGCTGTTCTGTGCTAAATCAACTGGGACTGTCCCAAAACAAGTTAAAGCTGATTCTAGAAATTTGTATTTATTTTTTTTTAATAGGCTATGGTGCTTTGCTCATTTAATAGAACATTAGACAATAAACAAAGTTGACAGCATTAAAGAGAATTTATCAACTCAGTGACTAAGCAAGAAGCTTTGCCACATCTGTGTTGATAGGCCACTGGAAGAAATATGGCTAGTATCACGGAAAATCTTGATTTCAGAGCTCTACTTTCAGTGGTTGTTCTGATAAGTAATTCTTGTTTGTATTAATATGCTCCTCCACCAAATCTAGATCATTTAGCACGCATGCTGCACAGGTTTGAGCTGTCAGAAACTACAAGGAGTCCAGTAATATCCATCCCAAACATATAAACATCCCAAACATATATATATCCATCCAAAACATATACTTCAGAACTATATGTTAAGCATTCAACCTGGTCATGACAGCTCTAGAGAGGCTACAGAAGTAGCGCAAGCGAGGAGGTATCAGATAAAATTCAGAGTGGCTTCATGGGCTATTGCAGGTCAATGCAGGCAAGAAACCACACTTACAGGTGCTATGCAAGTTAGTTTTGTATAAATTCAGTCCAAGAAGGCTGTTCAAATTCTGCCTCAAAATCTGACCTGTCCACTGTCAAAAAAGGAACATGGTGAGGGACTGCTAAAGTTACGTGAGCAACCTGTCCCCTTCTTTTTTTTCAGGCTTGTCACTGAAGTTTACACAATAGATGACACCTTACAGACCTTAAAGAAACGCCTGCAAGAAGCCCGTGATACTCTGCAGATGCTGCTTGCCAACAAATCAAAGCTAGAACATGACATATCTGTGAAGGCAAACTCCTTCTTCATTGACAAGAAGTGTATGGACATGCGCAAAACTTTCCCCAGCACCCCACGCCTCATTGGCTACACTTGAGCAGTAAACTTTGATACTTTTTGTGCACAATATAAAAGTTGCAAAGATTTACTGAAGAGAACTTTTTTTCCCCCAATAACAAAATCCAATAGAAGTAAACTAACCCAAATCAATATTGTGCTTCTCTCCTTTTAACAACTGTGTAGTCTCAACTGAAGCTGCACTATGGTGTACTTGTGGACTTGTTCTAACAGAATCAGAGCATGCTAAAAAAAACAGACAAATATTACAGGACATTTGTGAGTTACTAGCTAGAGAGAGCAATAGACAAATATGCTGTAGTACTTCTCAATGGAGTAAGTACAATACAGGCTTTAACTGTCTGGCATATTGTGCTGTTTGTGTTTCAATCCTTGTATGGTAAAGTTGTGTTTAAATGCTTACCCTGTCCTTCGACTCTCCTCCTGTGTAGCAGTGATAAATTTGGTGTTTAGAATTAGAGGACATCGAACAAGCTTGATTTGTAGAAGCTGAAGGACAATTTCAGTGTAACAACTTCAGGTGCACATGTAGCCTGTATTCACTGAGAGAGAATCTTTTCATCCCTACTTTTTTTTTCTTCTTTAATTTGATCTTTCATACCTTTAAGCATAAGGAAAATATTGTGTATTTACACGAACTATTCATGAAAGATGTCTAAAGGTCTTAACTTTATAGAAATGTGTAGCATCCAGCAGTGGATCTCAAAGGACTTTGTGAACAATGACAATACCATTGCTCCATCATCACCAGTGAGAAAGTTAAGACGAAGTGGGAATGGAACCAGCATACAGACTATGATGTAACTACAATGACTGCACTGTCATTGTCCTTCAGTCTGTAAGTCAAGATCTCTCAGCTTTCTAGATCTCAACAGAGCACTACTCAGTGTAGTGGGAAGTAGTTGGAAGAATGGGCTTTGAGATCAGACTTTTCCAGGTGAAGTTTGAAACACTGATAGTGCAGTGAAGGACTTGAGAAAGAACTAGTTTTACAGAATCACAGAATCACAGAATTTCTAGGTTGGAAGAGACCTCAAGATCATCGAGTCCAACCTCTGACCTAACGCTAACAGTCCTCACTAAACCATATCCCTAAGCTCTACATCTAAACGTCTTTTAAAGACCTCCAGGGATGGTGACTCCACCACTTCCCTGGGCAGCCTGTTCCAATGTCTAACAACCCTTTCGGTAAAGAAGTTCTTCCTAACATCTAACCTAAAACTCGCCTGGCGCAACTTTAGCCCATTCCCCCTGGTCCTGTCACCAGGTATGTGGGAGAATAGGCCAACCCCCACCTCGCTACAGCCTCCTTTAAGGTATCAGTAGAGAGCAATAAGGTTGCCCCTGAGCCTCCTTTTCTCCAGGCTGAACAAGCTCAGCTCACTCAGCCGCTCCCTAGCCCTGCTGGCCACACTGCTTCTTATGCAAGCTAGGATGGTGTTGGCCTTCTTGGCCACCTGAGCACACTGCTGGCTCATATTCAGCCGACTATCAACCATCACTCCCAGGTCCTTCTCTGCCTGGCAGCTCTCCAACCACTCATCTCCCAGCCTGTAGCTCTGCTTGGGGTTATTGCGCCCCAGGTGCAGGACCCGGCACTTGGCCTTGTTGAACTTCATACAGTTGGCCTCAGCCCATCGGTGCAGCCTATCCAGATCCTCCTGCAGAGCCTTCCTACCTTCAAGCAGATCGACACACGCACCTAGCTTGGTGTCATCTGCAAACTTACTGAGGGTGCACTCAATGCCCTTGTCCAGATCATTGATGAAGATATTAAAGAGGACCGGCCCCAGCACCGAGCCCTGGGGAATGCCACTAGTGACCGGCCTCCAACTGGACTTGACTCCATTTACTCTTTGGGCCTGGCTATCCAGCCAGTTTCTAACCCAACGAAGCGTGCGCCAGTCCAAGTCCAGAGCAGCCAGTTTCTTGAGGAGAATACTGTGGGAAATGGTGTCAAAAGCCTTGCTGAAGTCAAGGTAGACCACATCCACAGCCTTTCCCTCATCCACTCAGCACGTCACTTTGTCATAGAAGGAGATCAGGTTCATCAAGCAGGATCTGCCTTTCATAAACCCATGCTGACTGGGCCTGATCGCCTGCTTGCCCTGCAAGTGCTGCATGATGACTCTCAAGAGGATCTGCTCCATGAGCTTCCCTGGTACTGAGGTCAAACTGACCGGCCTGTAGTTCCCCGGGTCTGCCCTCCGGCCCTTCTTGTAGATGGGCGTCACGTTTGCTAGCCGCCAGTCAACTGGGACCTCCCCCGATAGCCAGGACTGCTGATAAATGATGGATAGGGGCTTGGCCAGCTCCTCTGCCAGTTCTCTCAGTACCCTTGGGTGGATCCCATCCGGCCCCATCAACCTGTGCACATCCAAGTGCTGTAGCAGGTCACCAACCAGTTCTTCGTGGATAGTGAAGGCCACATCCTGCTCCCCATCCCCTTCCACCAGCTCAGGGTACTGGGTATCCAGAGAACAACCGGTATTGCTCTCTTTTAACTCATGCTAAAACCGTCTGACTTTTGAACAAAATGGAATAAAAATGTTTTTCTGCTATTTGTGTTTCTCTACTGGGTTTACTCACACCCACATAGTACAGCATAACCAGCAAAGCACAATTGTAGTAACTGAGCTGTTTCCTGCTCCCTTAGGTCCTCTTTACAGAACAGCTCTAGAAACACATAAAACACTTTTTTTTTTTTTACGCTGGACCACAGCCCAATCTGAAACAATGCTAGATTTGAACAAACTGACTGTGTTCCTTACCTTTTGTTGTGTGTGGGTGGTGACTTAATCCAGCTCCCAATAAAAGGAACATTGCTGAGGATCACGGACCCCAGTGGTGCTGATACTTCCTTGCAATTTAACCTCAGTTTTCAGTGAGTGTGGCTGTGGCTGAGCTGTTTCACACTAAATTTCATTCCTTCAGTTAAAAAAAAAATAAAATAAAATTGGATCTCCTGCTTATTGTGTCAAACTATTTACACAGTGAAATATTTGTACATATGTAAAATCCCAGGAAAACATTTTGGAACACACATTGGTAAGTGACATCTGTGCCTACTCTGGTACTCGTTAAACATGTCTCACATTGACTGCACTGCACGTTGATTTTCTAAATTAGGGTAATTCCTGATAGCGCACACTGTCTCCAACTCCCTGGGAGGAATTCCCCCCAACATGGGGAAAACAGAAACACAACTTGCGGTTATATTGCGATACATGACTGCAGAGCAGCCCAAGGGGCCACTGTATGTAGGAGGGACTCTTACAGAAGACATCTCTGGTAATCTGGTTTGAATTAAGTCATATCTTATTGTTTCTTACTTGGAAACGCTTAACAACAAACTTCAAGTGCAGACTCCCCTTGGGACAAGCCTTTAGGTAAGAGGAATGAGGAATCTGGCTGTGTTTTGTTTCTCAGCGGGAAGACTGTTACCACTGTTAACATTTTCCTCCTTATGTATGCCTTTGTAAGGCAGCAAGGGAGGTTTTATCACTTTTTTTCTGTTACCACCGAAGTGTAGGTGTTTGATTTTCATTTCTTATATTATTCTTACAATGTATGAAGAATAATATATGTGTTAAATATTGACAATAGTCCCTCCCTATTTATCAAATACTGACAGCTGACCAAGCAGAAGAGTAAAAATTATTTGGAAATTTGGATCAACTTCAAGTCTTTAAATACATTTCTAGAAGTTGGAGGCTTTCCCAGTTCACACAGCTACTTTAGAAATAGTTTCTCCCCTCCTTATGCCAAGAACCCAGTTAAGAAGCATATAGCAGACGGAAAGCACGTTTAAGAGAGTTGAATTCTTACAACACTTTTTGACAGAAAAAGAAAAAAAGAAAAAATCTTTTTGTGCAAGCAGGCAACATGACTAACAAGCAGGCCTGAATCAAAGCCCTGAATTTGTAAATCTGGGGGCTTAGGGACAGAGATGCTGGGGTTGAGCCATGGCTTGGAACATCAAAAATTCCAGCTCCTTACTGTGCCTTTCTTCGGTCATGTTCTCTCCAAGACTGCAGCTCTGCTTTTGGGTGGAGTGCTCACTTTATAGTCAGTCCAAACACTGAACTTGTTTGAACAGTGCGAACTCCTCCCAGGAGTGACTGAGTAAAACCAGGGTCTACATTCTGCACAAGAACAGTAGTTCTGAGATTCAGCGACCATTGACAAGAATAAACTGATGTCCTGGTTTCAGTTAGCACAGAATTAATTTTCTTCCTAGTAGCTGGTGGAATGCTGTGTTTTGGCTTAGGATGAGAAGAGTGCTGATAACACCCCGATGCTTTAATTGTTGCAGAGCAGTGCTTATACTAAGCCAAGGACATCTCAGCCTTTTGCTCTGTCCTGCCAACGGGCAGGCTGGGGGTGCAGTAAGAGCTGGGAGGGGACAGACCCCGGACAGGTGACCCAAACTAGCCAAAGGGGTATTCCATACCATCTGACGTCATGCTAAACAATATATAGGGGTGGCTAGCCAGGGGAAGGGGGCCGGACTGCTCGGGGTTAGGCTGGGCATCGGTCAGCGAGTGGTGAGCAATTGCATTGTGCATCACTTGTTTGTACATATTATTATTATTTCCCTATTATCACCATATTATTATTATTGTTATTATTGTTATTATTATTTTGTTATTATTATTTTCCTGTCTTATTAAACTGTCTTTATCTCAACTCACGGGCTTCACTTTCCATTTCTCTCCCCCGTCCCAGAGAGGGAGGGGGGAGGGTGAGCGAACGGCTGCGTGGTGTTTAGCTGCCGGCCGGGTTAAACCACGACAGTCTTTTTGGGCGCCCAACGTGGGGCCCGAAAGGTTGAGATAACGGCAGATCTGACCAGAGTGTGTTAAACTAAAATTGGTGTAAGGATTAGACCTGCTTAATAGTCACTTGTCATAATGCTGATTGCTTTAATCTCAACTCTGCTGCGCCTGTTTTCCAAATTGAGTATTATAGTACATTATTTTCCGTATTTGCTCTCTGTCGTGTTGTTTATCCTCTCCGGGCCCTGGTTTCAGATCATCATGGACTGTGTGGATTCGATGGCCTGGCACATCACGCGCACAGAAGTATAAGGCTTTAGTAGACACCGGTGCACAATGTACTATAATGCCATCGAGCTATAAAGGACCAGAGCCCATCTATATTTGTGGAGTGACAGGAGGATCTCAGCAGTTGACTGTATTGGAGGCTGAAGTGAGTCTGACTGGGAATGAGTGGGAAAAGCACCGCATTGTGACTGGCCCGGATGCTCCATGTATCCTTGGCATAGACTATCTTAGAAGAGGATATTGCAAGGACCCAAAAGGGTTCCGGTGGGCTTTTGGTATAGCTGCCTTAGAGACAGAGGGCATTAAACAATTATCTACCTTGCCTGGTCTCTCAGAGGACCCCTCTGTTGTGGGGTTGCTGAGGGTCGAAGAACAGCAAGTGCCAATCGCTACCACAACTGTGCACCGGCGGCAATATCGCACTAACCGAGACTCCCTGATTCCCATCCATAAGCTAATTCGTCAATTGGAGAGCCAAGGAGTGATCAGCAAGACCCATTCACCTTTCAATAGTCCCATATGGCCAGTGAGAAAGTCTAATGGCGAGTGGAGACTAACAGTGGACTATCGCGGCCTGAACGAAGTCACGCCACCACTGAGTGCTGCAGTGCCAGACATGCTGGAACTTCAGTATGAACTTGAATCGAAGGCAGCCAAGTGGTACGCCACAATTGATATCGCTAATGCATTTTTCTCCATCCCTCTAGCAGCAGAGTGCAGGCCACAATTTGCCTTCACTTGGAGGGGAGTCCAATATACTTGGAATAGGCTGCCCCAGGGGTGGAAACACAGCCCTACCATTTGCCATGGACTGATCCAGTCTGCGCTAGAGCAGGGGGAAGCTCCTGAACACCTGCAGTACATCGATGACATTATTGTGTGGGGTGACACAGCAGAGGAAGTTTTCGAGAAAGGGAAGAAGATAGTCCAAATCCTTCTGAAAGCCGGTTTTGCCATAAAACAAAATAAAGTCAAAGGACCTGCACGAGAGATCCAGTTTTTAGGAATAAAATGGCAAGATGGACGTCGTCAAATCCCAATGGATGTGATCAACAAAATAACAGCTATGTCTCCACCAACTAACAAAAAAGAAACACAGACTTTCCTAGGTGTTGTGGGGTTTTGGAGAATGCACATCCCAAATTACAGTCTGATTGTAAACCCACTCTACCAAGTAACCCGTAAGAAGAATGAGTTTGAGTGGGGCCCTGAACAACGACAAGCCTTTGAACAAATCAAGCAGGAAATAGTCCATGCAGTAGCCCTTGGGCCAGTTCGAACAGGACCAGATGTAAAGAATGTGCTCTACACTGCAGCCGGGGAGAACGGCCCCACCTGGAGCCTCTGGCAGAAAGAACCTGGGGAAACTCGAGGTCGGCCCCTGGGGTTTTGGAGTCGGGGATACAGAGGATCTGAGGCCCGCTATACTCCAACTGAAAAGGAGATATTGGCAGCATATGAAGGAGTTCGATCTGCTTCGGAGGTGGTCGGTACTGAAGCGCAACTCCTCCTAGCACCCCGATTGCCAGTACTAGGCTGGATGTTCAAGGGAAGGGTCCCCTCTACGCATCATGCAACTGATGCTACATGGAGCAAGTGGGTTGCACTGATTACTCAGTGGGCTCGAATAGGAAACCCCAGTCGCCCAGGAATATTGGAAGTGATCATGGACTGGCCAGAAGGCAAATACTTTGGGATATCATCAGAGGAGGAGGTGGGTCGTGCTGAAGAAGCCCCACTGTACAACCAGTTGCCAGAGAATGAAAAGAAATATGCCCTGTTCACTGATGGGTCCTGTCGTATTGTGGGGAAGCATCGGAGATGGAAGGCTGCTGTATGGAGTCCTACGCGACGAGTTGCAGAAGCTGCTGAGGGAGAAGGTGAATCGAGTCAGTTTGCAGAAGTGAAAGCCATTCAGCTGGCTTTAGACATTGCTGAACGAGAAAAATGGCCAGTTCTCTATCTCTACACCGATTCATGGATGGTAGCAAATGCCCTGTGGGGATGGTTACAGCAATGGAAGCAAAACAACTGGCAGCGCAGGGGCAAACCCATTTGGGCTGCTGCATTGTGGCAAGATATTGCTGCTCGGGTAGAGAACCTGGCTGTGAAAGTACGCCACGTAGATGCTCATGTGCCCAAGAATCGGGCTACTGAAGAACATCAAAACAACCAGCAGGTGGATCAGGCTGCTAAGATTGAAGTAGCTCAGGTGGACCTGGATTGGCAGCATAAAGGTGAATTATTTATAGCCCGATGGGCCCATGACACCTCAGGCCATCAAGGTAGAGACGCAACATACAGATGGGCTCGTGATCGAGGGGTGGACTTGACCATGGACGCTATAGCACAGGTTATTCATGACTGTGAAACATGTGCTGCAATCAAGCAAGCCAAACGGTCAAAGCCTCTTTGGTATGGAGGACGATGGCTGAAATATAAATATGGAGAGGCCTGGCAGATTGATTACATCACACTCCCTCAAACTCGCAATGGCAAGCGCCACGTACTTACAATGGTGGAAGCAACCACTGGATGGCTGGAAACATATCCTGTGCCTCATGCCACCGCCCGGAACACCATCCTGGGCCTTGAAAAGCAAGTCCTATGGCGACATGGCACCCCAGAAAGAATAGAATCAGACAATGGGACTCACTTCCGAAACAACCTTATAGACACTTGGGCCAAAGAACATGGTATTGAATGGGTGTATCACATCCCCTATCATGCACCAGCCTCCGGGAAAGTTGAACGATACAATGGCCTGTTAAAGACTACCTTGAAAGCAATGGGCGCTGGGACGTTCAAAAACTGGGATACGCATTTGGCAAAGGCCACCTGGTTAGTCAATACTAGGGGATC